ATTAAAAATCTATCTACAAAAGAGACCCACTCCAAAGTCGCTCGGCGCCCCTGAACTTCACAGTAGACACCAGGCAATTATTCAGCTGGGGCAACTTTCCTCACAAATCCCAGGTGGAGAGATTTCTCTTGATACATCCAACCATCCCATTCTGAGGACACTCCAGGAGACCCTGGGCATGACCCGAGCACCCTAATCTTTCTTCACCCTAGCCATGTCCATCTCCCTAAGCTCTGGTACCAACCCAGTAGAGTGGATGAGGGGCAGACGCAAGCCTCACAACATTACCTGGGATGATGGCACCGGCGAATGCCAGCCCCAGGCAGAGAGCCAGTCCGGAGAGCCACATTGCTGCAAATGGAGCGGAGCTGTTTCAGGGCGAGCGGGAGAGATTTCAGGAAGCTCTGTGACTTATAAGACTAAACCCAGGGAGACCTTTGGACACTTGGACAGCTGCAAACCATCATTAGGCACCCAGATTCCTCCCTTCACCAGACCCCACCCTGGGGAGTTTCACAACTGCTGCTGGCAACAGGAAATGTGCAATGGTGCGGTCATCAAGCCAGTTCCAAGGCTTATGGCAGAAGATCAACCTCCACACCGGTTTCAAGTCTCCAGTCCTCACTTTTTAAGAGTGCTTTCTCTCTGCCCCCAACGGTTTCTCCTCTTCCATTGCTTCTTTTCATTGTCTTGTTCTCACTCTATTTGGGCTCTGCCTAAACTTTCCTGCTTTCACCCAGGCCGGTTCCTTCCTGTGCCTTCTGTTATACATGCTCCTAATATCTTGAACCTAGCAGTTTGAAAGCATGTCAAAGTGCAAGTAGATAAATAGGTACCGCTCCAGCAGGAAGGTAAACGGCGTTTCCGTGTGCTGCTCTGGTTCGCCAGAAGCGGCTTAGTCATGCTGGCCAAATGACCCGGAAGCTGTATGCCGGCTCCCACGGCCAGTAAAGCAAGATGAGCGCCACAACCCCAGAGTCGGTCACGACAGGACCTAATTGTCAGGGGTACCTTTACCTTTAATATCTCCTATTAGCTCCTGTTGGCCAAGGTAACTTGTCTTTCCTCCTTCCAAACTTTTAAGATTCTCCCCCATCTTGTCTTGACAGTAATGGTTGTTGTTGTTGTTGTTGTTGTTGTTTAGTCGTTTAGTCGTGTCCGACTCTTCGTGACCCCATGGACCAGAGCACGCCAGGCACCTCTGTCCTCCACTACCTCCCGCAGTTTGGTCAAACTCATGCTGGTAACCTCAAAAACACTATCCAACCATCTCGTCCTCTGTCACCCCCTTCTCCTTGTGCCCTCCATCTTTCCCAACATCAGTGTCTTCTCCAGGGAGTCTTCTCTTCTCATGAGGTGGCCAAAGTACTGGAGCCTCAGCTTCAGGATCTGTCCTTCCAGTGAGCACTCAGGGCTGATTTCATTCAGAATGGAGAGGTTGGATCTTCTTGCAGTCCATGGGACTCTCAAGAGTCTTCTCCATAATTGGATCATGGCCACTGGTCCCATCACCTCCTGGCAAATAGAAGGGGAAGAAATGGAGGCAGTGAGAGATTTTACCTTCTTGGGCTCCATGATCACTGCAGATGGTGACAGCAGCCACGAAATTAAAAGACGCCTGCTTCTTGGGAGAAGGGCAATGACAGGCCTAGACAGCATCTTGAGAAGTAGAGACGTCACCTTGACAACAAAGGTCCGTATAGTTCAAGCTATGGTTTTCCCAGTAGTGATGTATGGAAGTGAGAGCTGGACCATAAAGAAGGCTGATCGCCGAAGAATTGACGCTTTTGAATTATGGTGCTGGAGGAGACAGTAATGGTGGACCAGCCATTTCAAGCCTCTCCCTTGCCCCACCCCCACTTTCCCTTCTTAAGGTTCCTTAATCTTTGAAACTGACTTACACCCCCCCCATCAGAAAAGTTTGTTTACTGAGCAGGTTGAGTCACCGAGTGTGCCCCCCCCCCGCCAGCAAACAGTTAACTAGCAAGAGCTCCTGATTGGCCAGAGTTCCAAGGGAGGCAGTTGGAGAGGTGAAATATACTCAAGAGTGGATTTCATGCTCTTTATTCAGCTCATAGTGGTGAGGAGGAATGGAAGTTCCCCCAGAATGTCGGCTTTATATACATTATTTACACAATGGGCCCCACATGATTGGCTAATTCCGAGATTCTCCTGTAGGCCAATCAGGTTGTGGATTCACTTCTACCTGGAGCTGGATTGGGTGGCTCCTGTGGACCAATCAGACTGCTGCATTCTGAATCCTATTGTACTAGGACCAATCAGACTGCTGCATTTTGGATCCTATTCAACTCAGTACATAACAAGGAGAGTGAGAGACTGTATGCGAGCGATTCATGGGGTCTGTGAGGGGGATTTCTGTCAGGAGAGTTCGTTCTGACAGGTGGTAGAGCTGAGGAGAGCCGAGAGTATATGCTCTCAGGTTCTGAATTGCAGAATACCATTAAAAAATACTCAAGACACAGTCCCATACGGTGTTCACAGGAAAAAGGGTCCTCAGAGGGAATACAGTCATACCTCATGTTACGTTTGCTTCAGGTTGCGTCCCACGGCGACCCAGAAGTAACGGAACAGGTTACTTCCGGGTTTCGCCGCTTGCGCATGCACAGACATGCAAAATGACATCATGCGCATGCGCAGAAGCAGCAAATTGCGACCCACGCACGCACAGACGCATGTTACGTTCTTTTCAGGTTGCAAACGGGTCTCCGGAACGGATCCCGTTCACAACCAGAGGTACCACTGTACTCTGACAGGAAAGGGCAGTAGTGATTGTTATGTATTCAGTGGTTTGTGTTTGCCTTAGCTTGAGTCTGGAGTAAGGATTCTGAGCACCTGTGTTCTGATTCGATACATGATGTCCAATCACAGAACATTTCAGGATTTGGGCCTCTGCCATTGGCCCTTGAACTCGGAGTCATGATTCGCAGCTCGAAAGTTTAGATAGCCAATCATGTTGGGAGTGGGAGTGGCCCAGGCTTCCAGGAATGTATATAAGCAGTCGCTTTGCCCCTGTTTCCCAGTTATGTAGTTCAATATAGGTTCTTGCTGTTGCCTTGTGGGGATCCACCTACACTTCAGTGATTCCGAGGCCAAGGAGGATTTGGGGAGTCTGTAAGGAAACAGTCCAGTTAAAATCCTACGTTTCTGAAGTGTGTGTGAAGAAGTCTGATCTATGGAAAAGGTGTAAAAGAAATTGACCTTAAGCCTGAACAGCATGCAGCCTATAACTTGAGGCAGTATACGTTTTAATAAAAAAACAACAGCACTGCGCCGTGAATAACCTCAGTTTGTTACATTTCTGTGGAAGTAGAACCAAAACTCCTTGTTTACCTCTATTATAATAAAGTTTGTTTGCAACCTGTTTTCCCAAAAGAAAGACCCACTGTTGCTTGCGATTCATTCTCCATTAGGGATTTTACCTGAGGGAAAGGGAACCAGAGGGCTGGTGCAGCAATGCCAGAGAGAGAGAGGGCTGTTGCGCCATTGCACCCCCCTCCAGTAGAGGATGTCTTCCAAGAGAGGACTGTCCTCCGGCTGAAGAAAGACCTATGGACACCCTTGCAATGCCCAGCAAAAGGACCGGCTCTTTTGGAGGGATGCTTGAATCTGTCCGTTTCTCTTTCCAATCCTAACTTCCCTTCAGGTTTTGTCTTTTAATAGGCCTCAAAAATTCATCAGCATTTTAGAACAAATCTCTCCTAATTGCACATTTTTGTAAAGCCATTTCTCCAGATATAAAGTGTGTCTGTTTGCTGTCTTCACTGATATATGCATTTGTATGCACACTTTATAGGGACGCGGGTGGCGCTGTGGGTAAAACCTCAGCGCCTAGGACTTGCCGATCGCATGGTTGGCGGTTCGAATCCCCGCGGCAGGGTGCGCTCCCGTTGCTCGGTCCCAGCGCCTGCCAACCTAGCAGTTCGAAAAGCACCTCCGGGAGCAAGTAGATAAATAGGGACCGCTTACTAGCGGGAAGGTAAACGGCGTTTCCGTGTGCTGCGCTGGCTCGCCAGAGCAGGTTCGTCACGCTGGCCACATGACCCGGAAGTGTCTGCGGACAGCGCTGGCTCCCGGCCTATAGAGTGAGATGAGCGCACAACCCTAGAATCTGTCAAGACTGGCCCGTACGGGCAGGGGTACCTTTACCTTTACCTTATGCACACTTTGTGCTAAACACCCTATGCATTCTTGTACCCATCACTCAGATATGGAACTGCATTGCCCCACTTGGAGGAGGGCGAATTTCAAAGCAAGGTTGCGCTCCACCTAATGTATTCTTTGGAAAGTGCAAATTTGGTGAGTTCTCCTTGAAATGCAAACTGAATCCACCATCCTTACTGATAAGTAAACTCTGACCTCTGGCACTCCCCCCACCCCACCCCCACCCCGCCCAATGTCTCAGGCTGTGGCTTTGCTCCATCTGCTCCATCACCTTAGCTCTGAACTGCAGGAAGTGAAAGCTTGCAACCTTATACAACCTTTAATCTTCTACCCTCGGGCAGGAGATATAGAAGAAGAAGAAGAAGAAGAAGAAGAAGAAGAAGAAGAAGAAGAAGAAGAAGAAGAAGAAGAGTTTGGATTTGATATCCCGCCTTTCACTCCCCTTCAGGAGTCTCAAAGCGGCTAACATTCTCCTTTCCCTTCCTCCCCCACAACAAACACCCTGTGAGGTGAGTGGGGCTGAGAGACTTCAAAGAAGTGTGACTGGCCCAAGGTCACCCAGCAGCTGCAAGTGGAGGAGCGGAGACGCGAACCCGGTTCCCCAGATTACGTGACTACGTACTAACAGGTTAAAAAACAGTTTCTATCCATGGGCTGTTAGGCTGCTGAACGGAAAATAATATAGTGCAACAAGCACACAGAGTGCAATGAGATTGAGTGTTTGTGTGGGGGAGAGGGAGGCTCGGTTATTTTCCTTGTACACAGGTTGTACATTGACAATAAAGGTAATAATAATAATAATGATAATATTACAGGTATAAAGAAAACAACATCATGCTTTATTCTTTGAAAGCTGAGGCTAAGGAGAGCATCACCATCCATTAATATACAGTTGTATGCAATGAAGCCAAACAAATGAATGAACAAGACCGATGTCCCTTTGGGAATGTCCGGGAACACTAGCAACCTCCCAGGTGATGCCCAGAGAGGTCTTTTGAAGACGAGCTTTCCAGTAGTGTGTGTGTGTGTGTGTGTGTGTTTCAGTGTCACATCATCTGCAAGAAAAGGCACACCCAGAGTGCAAGGAGGGGTAGCGAGGAGGGGCGATGTGAGACACCCAGGCCAGGTGATCCAAAACCTTCAGTCCGGACCTGCTCAGGGCAGTCGGGGTGCCTGTCATATGGCTTGATGCAGCCTGCGTAGGCCAGGACATGGGCAATGTAGTTCTGCTCCTGGATGCCGTGGAAGAGATGGGCCATGGGTCCCTGTGCCATGATGGCCACGTCCTCTCCGCCGTGGGTCTCGATGTCCAGGGGCACAGCTGCCTGCTGCCGGTAGTCCTTGTCCTCTGGATGGGCGAGAGGCAGGAGGTCAGTCTAGACTGTTGGACAGTGGCTCGGTGGCACTGCGTGAGCCCATGACGCCCAGGGGGCACTGAGATGGGGCATGGAGGGTGAAGGAGCCCACCGCAGTACCCCCATGCACCAAAGGAGAAACAAGCTCCCTTGGCCGCAACACTTCGTGGGGTCAGGACTGATGGAGCTCATTCATCTGAGGACCTGGTGTGCCCATGCCCCAACCCCGAAGGCCAGCCTGGCTGCGGCTTCCCTCAATGAGGGAGCTATAGTGGGGGCGCCTCGTTGCACCCCCACCCCCGGAAAATGCACACAGGGCAACGGCCCTCCAACACCCCCACACTACGCCACTGTAGTGGCACCCATATTTCTGTGGGCCACCAGCCCCTGGGTTGCATAAGCTCATCCCCGAGCCTATCAAAAGCTTTCTTTGAATGACCCGCTAAGGAAAATAATAGCGCAAATGGAATTCAAAACAGTAAGCAATGATGGCCTCTCTAGGACAAAGGAACTTGGAGAACAATCTGCCACTGGGCAAAGCACCGTGGGGCAGGGATGGCTGCATGCAGAAACTCAGGCTGTGGGTCAGTCCTCAGAGGGAAGGGCTCCTAGGCCCAGGATGTGCGGGAAGGTGCGATAGAATGATCCATGTTTGAATCCACACTCAGCCAATGCAAGAAATGGTGTTGGCAAAGGCAGATATAACACTGGTCCTGCTAGCTAGGGATGATGGGAGTTGTAGTCCAAAAACAGCTGGAGGGCTAAGTTTGGGAAACCCAGGACTAGCTTCTGCAAACCAGCCTGACCAGGCTAGCGAAGTGCAGAGCCATTAAGGAACAATGGCGAGCCAGTTACTGAGGCATTATGGGCCAAAGAACTGCCCCCCCACCCCCACCGGTTCTGTCACAGGAGAATGTGTCCTTTTGAAATCTAAAGGAGTTTCTGGGAACAAAAAAAAGGAGGTGAGCAGAACTTCATGGCTGGAAGAGTCTGAACCGAGAGACCGGGAGCCATGACTGACTGCTGCTTTGGACCCAAGCTTGCTGAAGCTATGAGAGGGCATTGAGAGACACCCTTGTGGTATAATGTTCCACACCCCTTCTAGGTGTATATAGGTGTAAAATAAACCATATACAGTATCTTAAAACACTACAGTCTCTGACATGCCTGAATTCCCAATGGAAACACGACTACAGGTAGACATCTGGAATCCCCTGGGATCCTGTGCACTGCTCAACAGAGATTGGGGGTGGCGTGCAACCTCTGTAACACTGGTGTCAAGTGGGATCCGTGTTTTCTCTGTATATACTGGCGGGCGGAATCTGCTTTCACCTGCATTTTCAGCTTGCTAGCATATCCTTTTCTTGTCTTCCCAGTCAAGGAGGAGTCCCAGCTTCTCCCATTCTGCACTTGTTTTCTCTTCTCCCCCCTCCTTTGTCGCATCTTCCCTCGCACACTGACTGCCCCCATGTTAACCAGTTGCATCTTCCCCGTCCCACACGTCTTAACTTCTAGGAACCTTTTTCAGCTTCTGCCCTGCTATGACACTACTGCCTTTCCTATCCTTGCACACCCGCCTTGCACACCCTTGCTTTCATCGGCACCCCCGTTCCCAGGCCGCCCCCTCTTTTTGCAGCCCCCCGGTCCATAAGCGGAGGTGGTTCTCCTGAGCTCCGCATCCAAAAGCTCTGCATACCGAAAGCATCGGAGCTGACATCTGGGCGGCTGCCATTCCTGAGCTTGTACCCAGGTCCGTTCCCATAGAGGATACTGGTGAATGCCCGCTTGTCTTTCGCTTGCTTGGGTGCCAGGCCTGTGGAGAAACACAGACGATGCTCAGTGCTGGCTCTGACCTGACCAGAGTCACTTACAGCAGAGTGGAATCAATGGGAGGAGGGTCTCAGGCTGGCGGGATAAATAAATGTGCATTTATTTCATCCCCCACCCCAAACCAGGTGCCCTCCACATGTTTTTAACTACAATTACCAACAGCTGTATGGTGCTGGGTTAATGGGAGTTGTAATCCAAAAGACCTGGAGGGCACCTGATTTATCTGTTTGTCCCTCACCATTTTTTTAAATGCAAATGTCCTGGTTTAGCTAATCTTAGTCAACTCTCCTTCCTCAGAAGGAGAGGCTTCCAGATCTGAGGAAAAAGTAAAGGGACCCCTGACCATTAGGTCCAGTTGCGGATGACTCTGGGGTTGCGGCGCTCATCTCGCTTTACTGGCCGAGGGAGCCGGCGTTTGTCCGCAGACATCTTCCGGGTCATGTGGCCAGCATGACTAAGCCGTTTCTGGCGAACCAGAGCAGCGCACGGAAACCCCGTTTACCTTCCCGCCGGAGCAGTACCTATTTATCTACTTGCACTTTGATGTGCTTTTGAACTGCTAGGTTGGCAGGAGCTGGGACCGAGCAACGGGAGCTCACCCCGTTGTGAGGATTCGAACAGCCATGGTGGCTTCCCCCATGGAATTCTGGGACCTGTAGTTCATTAAGGGTGCTAACAGTTGTTAGGATACCCCTACTCTCCCTCATAGAGCTACAATTTCCCAAGTTCCCTGTGAAGAGGGGTTTATTGCTTTCTCCTGCTCTAGAGAAGGGAGATTCTGATTAAACACCAGGAAGAATTTTTTAACACTAAAAGCCATTTAACTATGGAACAGACTGCCATGGTAGGTGGCGGACTCTCCTTCCTTGGAGGTTGGATGGCCATCTGTCACGGAAACTTTAGTTGAAATTCCTGCATTGCAGGGGGTTGGACTAGATGACCATTGGGGACCCCTACACTTCTATGATTCTATGATTCTCAGACTACCCTGGGAATTGTGCTGGAGGGGCCTTTCGCCTCCTTCCTTATGTTCTTATCTGTGTGCTAAAATTCCAATCCCTTACACGAGTCATTAGCTGAAAAGGTTTAACAGAAACTGGGTCCTTCTGGGATTTTTTTCCCCTCCTGGGAAACCATATGGGCTAGAAATTTGCTTTCAAGCTTTAAAAAGGGCAGTTCTGTTTCTCAGAAGCGATGCGATTCCTAGTGCAGTTCGCACCAATGAGAATTCTTGCATTGCAGGGGTTGGACTAGATGACCGTGGGATCCCTTTCAACTCTACAGTTGTACGATTCTATAATAATTAATAATAATTTATTATTTATACCCCGCCCATCTGGCTGGGTTTCCCCAGCCACTCTGGGCAGCTTCCAACTGAATATTAAAAACACAATAAAACATCAAACATTAAAAACTTCCCTAAACAGGGCCACCTTCAGTTGTCTTTTAAAAGTAAAATAGTTGTTTATTGCCTTGACATCTGCTAAGAGGGCGTTCCACAGGGTGGGCACCACCACCGAGAAGGCCCTCTGCCTGGTTCCCTGTAACCTCACTTTTCACAGTGAGGGAACCGCCAGAAGGTCCTCGGAGCTGGACCTCAGTGTCCAGGCAGAACAATGCGGATAGAGACGCTCCTTCAGATATACAGGACCGAGGCTGTTCAGGGCTTTAAAAGTCAGCACCAACACTTTGAATTGTGCTCAGAAATGTACTGGGAGCCAGTGTAGGTCTTTCAGGACCGGTGTTATATGGTCTTGATGGCCGCTCCCAGTCACCAGTCTAGCTGCCGCGTTCTGGATTAATTGCAGTTTCTGAGTCACCTTCAAAGGTAGTCCCACGTAGAGCGCATTGCAGTAGTCCAAGCGGGAGATAACCAGAGCATGCACCACTCTGGAGAGACAGTCTGTAGGCAGGTAGGGTCTCATCCTGCGTACCAGGTGGGGCTGGTAGACAGCTGCCCTGGACGCAGAATTGACCTGCGCCTCCATGGACAGTTATGAGTCCAAAATGACTCCCAGGCTTCATACCTGGTCCTTCAGGGACACAGTTGCCCCATTCAGGACCAGGGAGTCCTCCACACCAGCCCACCCCCTGTCCCCCAAAACAGTACTTCTGTCTTGTCAGGATTCAACCTCAATCCGTTGAATTCTATGAATTCTCAGCCTGGTGGCTCAGAGTATTTTGAGACTAAGACTTCCAGAAGAGGTGGGAAAGCTTCTCTCCATTGCCCCTTGCCTCTGAGATAGGGAGCAAAATCTTGCTCTTCAAAGAGCCTGGGAACTTATTCTCACCAAAGATGTTGTTGCCCCGTGGTGTGTTGCCGCCTAAGGTGAAGACGTGCGAGTGGTCAGCTGTGACCACCATGAGAGTCTCTGAGGCGTCGGTCAGCTCCACGGCTCTCTCCACGGCCCGGTCCATCATCACAGTCTCGCTCAGGGCCAGCTTGGCTCTGCCCTTGTGATGCCCGTGGTCAATCCTGCCTCGTAATGGGAAAAAAGGCAACATATCAAGACCTTTTTCTCTCCGCAAGAGACACCATGTTTCAAGCTCATGACCGAACATTCCCCCAAACATGAAAAGTAGGGTGTCAGGGAGAAAGGTTCTAGCACAGGTGTCGCCAAGCCAGCGCTCATGGGCACACTGGCACCCGTCAAGGCTTCCAGTGCTGCCCCACCCAGAGCAGGTGAGCCGGTCTCTGAGCATTCATTTTCAAAATGTGAGGCTCTAGCCCTCCCAGAAAGAAAGTTATGAGGTAAAATGTGCAGGTAACCTATGAAGTGGAATGAGAACGGTGTGGTCTATTTTTCCTGGTACCAAACAATGTTCCCTGTTGCTATTTGGCAGCAGGAGCAGCAGGGTGTGAACTCTGTATGTCAGGACCAGCAGGAAATATCTGACATCCCATAGTAAGCATAAGGTGGCCAGGCTGGTTGTCTCTCTAGTTTTGTGTTCTGCCACAGGTTCTGTTCTGTATGGCTGCCATCTTGTGTTCTGACACATGGCGGCCATCTTGTTCTATGCCACCTGCTCTATATGGCGGCCATCTTGTGTTCTACCACATGCTCTGCATGGCGGCCATCTTGTGTTCTGCCCTGCCTCACAGCTGCCACTTTGTACTATTCCACAGGCCCTCCATGACAACCATTTTGTGACTGCCTGCCCGAGCACTCTCTCAAAATTCAAAAAAAGTGCCCACAGATTGGCAGCTCCTGTCTCTAGCATAACCTGCTTGAAGTGCTCATTTTCTAGGTGGAGGAAACCATTTTGATTGTTTGGAGGACCACCCAGTCACGTCAGCCTCAAGCTGCAAGCCAGAGTTGTGCAGGTTCGCTGTGCTAGCCAACATGAGGCCTGCCAGTCCCTCCTCGGTTCAGACGGGAGCCAGTGCCGGTTCCCTCCCAGAGCACAGTGGTCGCCATATCATCCCCCGGGGTTCTCTGCTGCCCCTTTCAAGATGGGAGAAGCGGAGAACGAGGATACTCATCTTCCACAAAGAGGAAGAAGCCGTTGGGGTTCCTGCGCAGGATCCGTATGGCCTTCTCCGTCATCTCCACAATGGAAGGGTCCGTGTTGTTGTCTCGATCCAGCTCGTACGCCATGTCGTGCGGCTCAAAGAGACCTAGCGGATTGGATCAGAGAAAGTGAGTGTCGCTGTGGTAGGAGCCTGACCGAGATAAGGGAAGGTTACGTTTTCATTATCATTGGCTATTCAGATTGGGGCGTGGGCCCAGTTGGCATTTGCTCCCGGCGGGGCCTTTTCGGTGGTGGCTCCCCGTTTGTGCAATTCCTTCCCTGGGTGAAGAGCACCTGTCTCTCTCATGATCAAGTCTTGGGAGGAATCTGGAAACATTCCTGTTTACCCAGGCATTTTGATGGGTGAAAGACAATGTTCCTAGAAACCCTCCAATCATGGGCTGGGAGAAGGTGATTGTTGCTCACCGTTTTAAGAATATATATATATATATATATATATATATATATATATATATATATGGTGCATTTGTCACCCTGGGCCATAGGTGCCAACTCCCTGGGGCCCTGGTTGCCTGAGCACCCACAAAATTCCCCATGAAAGGGCCGAGCACCCACAAATTTCGGGGCCATGCACTCTGCATGGCACCCACCGTCGTGGGACCAAGCTAGCACTCCTTTCCTGTGCTCCTTCACCCTGGGATTTTCAGATGGAGAGTAGTATGCAAATTTAATAAAATTAAAATAAATGCAAATTATTATTAATATTAACAATAATACTATTGCTATTATTTTACATTAGGGATGGGGCAGCCCCTTTGATATGGTCCATGGCTTCTCCTCACCCCTAGCTACTACTGCCCATGAATTAGGTTGAAAAAATTGCTATGCGGTTTTTTGTTCTTTTTAGAGAGTGGGCGTTAATGGGGATGGCGGCTGCAGAGAGAAATTTATTAGGCAGAGTAACAAGTGCAGAGAGAGAGAGAGAGATGATTCCCTGCCTGGAGGAAATTTCAGTTTAATGTTGATTGAGTGGGAAATTAATGAAAGGACGCCTTTGGGAAGCCTTCAGGCAGGACCTGAGCACAAACAGCAGTTCTCTCCAGCCTTGCGATTCCCAGCTCCTGACATTCAGGCAGATTCTGCCTCCAACAGTGGGCTTGGACATTTCCCTTGTGGCTAGTAGCCATTGATAGCCTTACCCTGCATAAATCTGACTAATCCACTTTTGAAACCAGCTGAGTTAGCGGCCATCACCGCATATTGTGGCAGGGAGTTCCATAGGTCAACTATGGGCTCAGTCAAGATTCAGCTTGTCCCACCATTTCCCCCCAGGGAAATCTGCTGTTTACCGCTGAATCGTAGCAAATGCCAATTGGGTTTTCTCCTGATTGGTGTTTGTTTTGATTTAGTGCTAAAGAGCGGGATTTCCAGAGAAAAATGGCCAGGGGAAACACTGCATTGCTTGGACCTCTGCTTTCTTGGCACAGGACAAGTGGGAGTGTGGACAAGCCCTATGGGTTGTAGACTGAGGTCCAGCTCCGAGGGCCTTCTGGCGATCACTCGCTGCGAGAGGTGAGGTTACAGGGAGCCAGGCCTTCTCGGTGGTGGTGCCTGCCCTGTAGAACGTGCTCCTATCAGATGTTAAGGAGATAAAGAACTATACAGAAGGCAGCCCTGTATAGGGAAGTTTTTAATGATTAATGTTTTGTTATGTTTTTATACGTGCTGTAAGCTGCTCAGAATGGCTGGGGCAACACAGTCAGATGGGCGGGATACAAGTAAATAAAGAATAATAATAATAATAATAATAATAATAATAATAATAATAATAATAATAATAATAATTCCAACATTCAGCTTCATTGTCCAAGAGTCCACATATTATGGGAAAGGGAGAAAAGCCAGCCCACCCCACGCTCACTTTCTCCATACCATGCAAAGTTTTATCTATCATTTCTCCTATGACTCACCTTTTCTTTCTTACAAATAACTTTGGGGGTGTGAAACCCTATTGTAATAATCATGATAATAACGATATTATCATTTACAGTAATACCTCCATGAACGTCCGCCTTGTCTAGTGTCCATTCTGGCGAATGTCCACGGCAAACCCAGAAGTACCGGAACGAGTTACCGTACTTCTGGGTTTGCCGCTCACACATGCGCAGAAGCGCTAAATCGTGCTTCGCACATGTGCAGAAGCACAAACCACTCCGTGCGTGTGCACAATTGTGGCACTTTGTGCTACACCCGTTTCGGTTAGCGGCCGGGGCTCCGGAACGGATCCCAGTCAAAAAACAAGGTACGACTGTATACCCTGCCCATCTGGCTGGGATTCCCCAGCCACTCTGGGAGGCTTCCAGCACAAATAAAAACATAATAAAACATCAGATATTAAAAACATTTGAAAAGTAATGTTCCTAAGGGGCAAGCAGGCATAAAATGCTGAATAAAGGCAGAGTACACTCAATAAGGACTCAGCTATGCAGCTGCAAATATAACGTTTTAAGTGTGTTTCATGTGCATTATACAAATGTGACACTAGATGGCAATGGTGAGCTAATGGCAACTTCAATATATTTTTCAAAACTTTTTTTAAAAAAGCATTTTCGCTGCGTTTTTTTATATGTGTCTAGATTCCACCTTCATGGTTCATCTTGTCTGCTGTTTATCTGTGTCCAAACACAATCTCTCCCTGCACAGTTCACATTCCCTTGCAGGATGTCAGGAATCAGGAAAAGTTTGTCCCCTTCCTCTGACCAGTAGGAGAGAAACAGGAAACCCCCCTAGTACTCTTACCCATAAGATGGTTGGTAGTGTTTTCATTGACGGAGGCCAGCCCTGTTTTATTCCAGACATACTGAGCTCCCTAGAAACAAATATGGGGTTCATAAATGCCAGGAATCAACAGCATATTCATTACACCAGCCTTCCCGCACCAGGTGCCCTCTTAATGTCTTGAACTACAACTCCCACTGATATGAGCTGCAGTCCAGAACATCTAGAGGGCGGGGGAGGCTGCATTAAACAGGTACAATAAATGGATATATTTCCATTGTTATGATTACCATTTAAAGCATGTTTGCCCTATTCTTCAGCCCAACAAAGGCTCCCAGAGTGGCTTACAAAGCTCAGCAATAAGACAGATTCTGCCTTCAGGCTTAAAATCTAAAAGGAACAGCACAAAAGGAAAATGAGATTGGGAGGGAGGAAGAAGAAAGTAGGCAATACAGTGGTGCCCCGCAAGACGAATGCCTCGCAAGACGGAAAACCCGCTAGACGAAAGGGTTTTCCGTTTTTGAGTTGCTTCGCAAGACGATTTTCCCTATGGGCTTGCTTCGCAAGACGAAAACGTCTTGCGTGTCTTGCGATTTTTTTCCGCTTTCCCCCCCTTTTTCTAAGCCGCTAAGCCGCTAATAGCCTTTTAGCCGCTAAGCCGCTAAGCCTTTAATAGCCGCTAATAGCGCTAATCCGCTAAGCCGCTAATAGGGTTGCTTCGCAAGACGAAAAAACCGCTAGACGAAGAGACTCGCGGAACGGATTCTTTTCGTCTTGCGAGGCACCACTGTAGTTCTTGGTTACAGGCTTGAAATGGAAAGAGTTTGAGGAGAGGAGGAGTGAATGTTTTCTCTAAGCCACAACCAGGGTTTTCTCCCCTCCCCCTGCCCCCCACTCCATCCCGCTGGACTCCTAGCCCTTCCCCAATTCCCATTACCATCCTGTTGCTCAACCACATTTCAATGAGGTTCAGGCCATCCTTCCTGGTCCCATTCTGTTTCGGATGCTCTGGGTCACTCATGTTCCTAGGCAGCATGAATTTCCGCCCTCCTCCGAGAATCACCTGCAAATGTGAAGAAGGCAATGTCACTGTTCAGAGAGCATCGCCACCTCACCAGAGTTATTTTTCTTTTTCTTTTTTAAAAATTCTTTTTATTAAATTTTCCATTTTAACAATCCAATCAAATCACATTAATATTCCAAATTATACATATCAAATAATCCAAATATTCTGCCAAATTATAAATTTTTTAATGGGACTTCCCATGCTTCAAGTTCGGAGGGTTCTGACCATCTCATACCTCTACTGCATTTCATAGTCACAGAGTTATTTTTCTTCAGAATTTACATCCCGCATTGCAGGGGGTTGGATAAGGGCCTTCTCGGTAGTGGCGCCCACCCTGTGGAACGCCCTCCCATCAGATGTCAAAGAGATAAACAACTACCTGACATTTAGAAGGCAGCCCTGTTCAGGGATGCTTTTAATGTGTGACATTTTGATGTATTTTAAGTCTTTGTTGGAAGCCACCCAGAGTGACTGGGGAAACCCAGCCAGATGGGCTTGGTACAAATAATAAATTATTGTTTGTTATGTACTGAGTTGAATAGGATCCAAAATGCAGCAGTCTGATTGGTCCCAGAACAATAGGATTCAGAATGCAACAGTCTGATTGGTCCTAGAACAATAGGATCCAGAATGCAGCAGTCTGATTGGTCCACAGGAGCAACCCAATCCAGCTCCTGGTGGAAGTGAATCCGCAAACTGATTGGCCTACAGGAGAATCCCAGAATTAGCCAATCACGTGGGGCCCATTGTGTAAATAATGCATATAAAGCCGACATTCTGGGGGAACTTCCATTCCTCCTCACCACTATGAGCTGAATCAAGAGGATGAAATCCACTCTCGACTCTGAGTATATTCATCATCATCATCATCATCATCATCATCATCATCATCATTATTATTACATGAACCCTTAGGGTCCCTCCCAGCTCTACAATTCTATGATTCTACCATTCCTGCGGCCAGGCCCCTGAGTGGGTCTCCCCGCCTGCCTTGAGCAGCTCTACGCACGTGTAGCCACTCACATTGATGTCTGTGTTGTGCACCAGCTGGTAGGCAATGTCCTTGCAGCCTTGGCTGGCGGCCTCCTTCGACATGTTGACGTCGCCGTACCACTCACGGCTGGCCGAGTGGGCATAGGCGGCAGCCGGAGAGGCATGCTGCACACGGGTGGTGGTCACGATCCCCACAGACTTCCCTGTGAGGAGGAGAGGGCATGTGGGAGGCAGGATTGGAAAGAGGGGGAGAGGAATGGGGCTCCACCCTCCCCACCATTCCCACTGCTGCCGGTTGGGGCGCCGTCTCTTGTGCTTTGGCCGCCTGAGGCGGTTGCTTCACCCCACCTCAACAGCAGAGCCATCTCGGTGGACTCTCCTTCCATGGAGGTTGATCAGCAGAGGTCGGATGGCCATCAGTCATGGATGCTTGAGCTGAGATTCCGGCATTGCAGGGGGTTGGACTAGATGACTCTACAGGTCCCTTCCAACTCTACAATTTTACACTTCTAAACTGCCATTTTGGAAAGAGCGATGTATCCATTGGCATGCCAGCATGCATTGGGTCAGTATCAGGGTCTGATTCATGGGCGATCGAAGGCCCAGCTGGGGACGTCGGGACTGGGGCAAGATGGCGGAGTGGGAGCAGGAACGGGAGTCCAGAAGCCAGGAGCCAGGAAGCCAAGAGTCTGAGGGTCCGAGGGTCAGGAAGCAAGGGGTCAAGGAGCCAAACGCAGCAAGGCAGGGAACGTGTTGCTGTGGCAAAGAGCCGAAGGGAAATGCTGACCTTATATCCCTTCCCGGCTCTTGCCACCAGGTGCTGTTAGTTACCAATTGGCCTCACCTGTGCAGCTGCACCTCGCCTCTAGAGAACAAACTTAGGAAGGCCCCAGTCCTGCAAAGCCATACTGGTCACAGGACCTGGTTCCTGCACGCACTCCTGACAGTCAGACACCGAGGAGAGATAACCTTTGAGGGGTTTAAAGCGGCAGGGAGTAGTCCTGCCATGTGACCCAACATGCCTTTAAAAGAGACACTTGTCATCTGTCTCCTTCATAGGAGGGTCATTGGGAAAGGCGTGGAAATGGGAAAGCTAAATAAGCAGCGGGTTGGACCAGCACTCCAGCAGGGAGGAGTTTATGCCTGCTTTCCAATAATATACACGCTTTTTTGCATGAAGAGCTACATTGCAAAATTCAGAGAAATGCAGATTTTAGCGGGCAGTTGCTTTTCGGTTCCTGTATTTGGGAAATCAAATCAAATTTCTCTCCCCCATGTTTTATGGTGTTTCGAATATTCTGTTGGGAGCCACACAGAGTGGCTTTTATTTTACCCCAGATGGGTAGGTAATAATAATAATAATTAATAATAATAATAATAATAATAATAATAGCAATAATAACAACAACTACATGGAGAAGGAGCTTCCAGCCCTGGAGGAAGGCTGATCTTTGTCAGTGCCCTCCCATCCGACCCACAATGCCTCCCTCTTTCCCTCAGCTCCTACCTGACAATGTTGCCCGATGCAGCACAGAGTGGACTTCGTTGCCAAAGGTGGTGTTGCATTGGCCCAAGGTGGCACGAGCACTCAGGCCCAGGGTTTTAGCATTGGCCTTCACCCCGCACAGGTAGGCAGTGGCGGTTCCAGCGCTGTCAGGCACCTGCCGGTCCACATTGTACGTCTGCCGATAGAAATGGAGAGATGCTGCGATTCAGGGAGGCCTGGCACAAGACTGGCAGGCGGCTGTGTAGCAAGGGGCCAGGAGCTCATCCTGAGAAATGTTACAGGAAAGGGATGTTTAGCAGCTGTCCGGGAGGATATTTCTTTGTTAAGGATGCTGGGAATGGCAGCTCAATTAGGCCAGCACCCTTAACAAACTACAATTCCCAGGATGCTCCATGACTGTTCATTGGATCATAGAATCATAATGGGAAGGGACCTCGAGGGTCATCTAGTCCAACCCCCTCCAATGCAGGAATCTCAACAAGATTGGACATGACAGATGGCCATCCAACCTCTGCTTTAAAAATGCCAAGGAAGGAAAACCCACCAGTTCTTGTGGGAGTCTCTTCCAATGTTGAACAGCTATTACTGTCAGAAGGTTATTCCTACCCACGCTGGAAGAATGGCAGACGAAGGTGATTGACTATATGGGACTGGCGGAGATGACTGGCAGAATCCGAGACCAGGGGAAAGAGACAGTGGAAGAAGACTGGAAGAAATTTAAAATATATCTTAAAAATCGTTGTAAAATTGAGGAGTGTTAAAATGTCAAGGAATTGGGAAATAGAGAATTGCAGCTGTAATTAATAAGTTAGAGAAGAACTTAAAAGAAAATGAATTGAATAATTAGTTAATTGGAGGAGTTGCTGAAGAAATGTAAAACAAGGATGCAGAAAAGGGGAGGTATGGGGAAGTCTGGGAAGTAAGGTGTATGAAAAAAAGGTTATGAAATTATACATGTTTATATGTTTGTATGTTTGTGTATTGTGTATTGTTTGTGTTTATTTTGTGTTTGGAAAATAAAAAAAAATTATTAAAAAAAACAGAAGGTTATTCCTGATGTTTAGGCGGAATCTCCTCTCTTATAACTTGAAGCCATGGATTCGAGTCCTACCCTTTGGAGCAGGTGAAAACAAGCTCCTTCCTTCTTTCATGTGACAGCTCCTTAGATATTTGAAGATGACTATCATATCTCCTCCCAGTCTGCTCTTTTCCAGGCTAAACATACCCAGCTGCTTCAACCGTTCCTCATCAGGCTTGGTTTCCTTACCATCTTGGCCACCCTCCTCTGCACACCTTCCAGCTTGTCAACATCCTCTTTAAATTGTGGAGCCCAGAACTGGACACAGGACTCCAGGTGTGGTCAGGGTGTGGCCACACTCCAGGTGTGACCTTGGAAGGAGGTGGACTCTCCTTCCTTGGAGGCTTTTAAGCAGAGGCTGGGTGGCCATCTGTCAGGGACTCTTGAGCTGAGATTCCTGCATTGCAGAGGGCTGGGCTAGATGACCCCTAGGGTCCCTTCCAACTCGGCAGCCCTATGATTCTGTGAGCTAAGGCTGCAATTCCTAGGCACACTTACCTGGGAGAAAATCCCAGGTAAAGGCTTGATGGGAGGGAGGCCTTGGAAAATAGGCAGGCTGGGCCCTCCTTGGGAACTTCCTATCCCTGAACTGGCTGAGGGCGAACACAGCAGCGTGCAGCAGCACTCTCTTCCTTGGCACAGGCTCCCACCTTGGACAAGGCGACGTAGGGGAATCTCTCCATTGCCAGCACGCTCTCTTCCCCGGAGCCTCCGGCCAGCTGGCCCTTGTAGATTCGGGCGGCTGTGATGGTGGGCACCCCCATGCCTGAAAGGGCAGAAGGAGGGTCATTAGAAGAGTTGTCAAGGGGCTAAACAAACGGGCGGAGCAGGTTCAGCGCCTGCCTTTGGAGAGATCAATAGGAGGCACATTCTTCCACAGGGCCTTCTTCCTACTATTTTGGTACCCGTTTAAGCAGTCGTGGTTTCTCCCAAAGGATCCTGGGAGCTATAGTTTGCTAAGGGCGCAGAAATGGTACTACGGTGCTTTAAATGTATGGAGCGAATGTGGCCTTTGTCCTTGCCGGAAAGAAAGGGACATATTTCATATTCCCCCCTGTTACAGAAGCACACGCAAGTGTTAAATAACTCTGAAGAGAAAGAAGCACATCATTAACTTTCACCCTCCTTAATGACACTAGCCTCCGCCAGTTAATCAACTGCAACTTAAGTTGATTAATCTACTAATTAAAGCTTGCAGCCCTGATGGTATAAATAAACACTATTGCATTAAGCAAAACCATGGTCTTGCTTAGCTGGTCCATTATTTACTATCTCCTTCAGAAGGTGGTGGAGGTTTTTAAGCAGAGGTTGGATGGCCATCTGTCAGGGACACTTTAGCTGAGATTCCTGCATTGCAGGGGGGGTTGGACTAGATGACCCTCGGGGTCCCTTCCAACTCTACAGTTCTATGATTTTTGTAACTTTGATGTGGTTTGTATCAGTGAGTGCCAAGCATTAAAATGAATCGGTTTTAGCAGAACCAGGCACTGTGTTAAATGCAAGGGTAAATGGATTGAGAGCCAGACTCAGTTTCTTATTTATTTTTAAATAAAAGCATTGCCACTAAGAGGCTGAGCTAAGGATTAGCAATTCCCTTTCCCAGATCTCACCTGTGCTATGAACCCACTAGGTGACTTTAGGCAAGAAACCCTCAATCGCAGAAATGTGGGGGTCAATGGGATAATCCTGGCCCACATTACAGGGTTGGTGTTAAGGGATACAAGAATACATATGAAATCCCTGAAACACTTTGTGAAATACTAAGGGTCACATCGGCAGCTGTGACATATAAACCTACAGATTGAGTACATTGAAAGATAGCTCACAGGGCATTAAACGTAAGTGTGAAGAGACTCCTGGCTGCAAGGATGTCGTAAGAGTCAAGATGTCTGGCAAGATGTGTGAAGGAATTTGCTGACACTGACAGATGACTCTAGGGCCTCGCTCCTCCTCCTCAAAGCCTGTGTCTGTGATATTACTTTTGCTCTTCTGATAACACTGCTGCTTAGCTACCTTTTCCTTACTGTGGGGATTAATTTCTACTGTACGTGCAGAGCTAAGACAAGGAAACACCTCTATAATAAGCCTGTGCAACTTATAGGGCCGTGGATTCCACTTTTGTGGTTTTCCAGCAAGTAAAAACTGTCTTAAAACATTGCGGCTGGTGCATTTAATTGAAGAAAATCCACTACGTGTCTTTTTGTCGCTGAGAGTTTTGGCAAACCACTGGACATTGAAATCTGTACTTTATTTTTTTATTTTTTAAAAAACAGCTCAATAAATGTCTCATTTTCCACCCACCTGCCCCAACGTGGGTAGAGGAGAATACCCTTCAATATCTCTCTGATGAAAATAGGGATGTCCTGTATAATAATAATAATAATAATAATAATAATAGTATTTGTGCCCCTCCCCATCTGACTGTGTTGCCCCAGCCACTCTGGGCGACTTCTAACATATATAAAAACCTTATAAAACATTACACATTAAAAAGCTTCCCTAAACATGGCTGTCTTCCTATGTCTTCTAAAGGTTGCATAGTTACTTATCTCCTTGGCTCAAGGGTTGCATAACTCCGATAAGAAAAGGGAGGTCCTAAGGGAAAGCGGGACATTCCGGGATCAAAAGAGAAACCAGGACGGCTTCTGTAAATCCAGGACTGTCCCTGGAAAAGAGGTTCTGGAGGGGCCAGCCTCCTCTTGGGATGCTCCTGTGATGGCCTCAGATAACCTGGAGGCATGCAGAAGAAGTTGGAGGTTACATGCTTCCCTACAAGAAATGTGCAGGAAACAGTGCCCTCTGCGCAGCCTTTCACTTCTGCACAGAAGCGCATGAGCCACTGGGAGCTTTGGGTCTCCGCAGCGCTTGGCTCTCCTCGCCTCCCTCCTCCGATCCAGGAGTCTCCCCCATCTCGCCACCAGTCCCTAAGATAAGCTGCCAGAGGGCGGAACGACCTGGCAGTCAATGGCCTGCAGTGACCCAGAGAGCCTCCCACCTGCGAGGGATGATGATGAGTGGGTCTTGGCGAGGTCTGCGGCTGCTCCTCCGCCTGCCAAAATCCACTTTGCGCAAACTCTGGGTTGAGTTATGCAGAGACGGCTCTCTGACGGCGCCAGAGGCAGCGGCCAAAGGGTGTAAATCAGTTTCATGAAGGGGAGCTGGAGAGTGGCAGGAGGGAGGCTGGGCCTCACCTTAGAGAGGAGGAAGAGAGGGCTGGATCCCTGCCAGGCGGACCTTCGCTGGCAGTGCTGAGCCAGAGGAAGCAGAGACTAGGGAAATGCTCCCTTTGGAACTCAAGCACTGGGCCAGGGTCTTGGATCACAGGGACACAAGAGGCTGCCTTATACCAATTCAGACCTTTGCTCCATCTAGCTCAGTGTTGTCTACACTGGCTGGCAGCAGCTCTTCAAGATTTCGGGCAGGGAGACTCTCCGAACTCCACCTGGAGATGCCACCCGGGCATCTTCTGCATGCAAAGGCAAATGCTGAGCAAAAGGTTCGGTGCGCCTTTTTGACTCAAGCGGGGTCCAATTGTGTCCAAACAGAGATGGAAACTTGCTTCTTGAACTCAGGGAGCATTGCACAAAGTTTGGTTACAACAGCTAAAGAAGTGTCCAGGTAAACAGATAAACAACTTTGAAGAATATACAGTAGAATTGTGTTTGTGTGTGTGTGTGTGTGTGTGTGTGTGTGTGTGTGAGAGAGAGAGAGAGAGAGAGAGAGAGAGAGAGAGAGAGAGAAATTGGGGTGGCAGCAGACCCTCCAAGTGTCCCTATTTTCCAGGGACAGTCCCAGATTTACAGAAGCTGTCCTGGTTTCTGGTTTGATCCTAGAGCATCCTGCTTTTCCCTATTGTAATTGGATAAATATTGGACGATATTTGACCCCCAAACCATCTGAAGGCAGTCCTGTTTAGGGAAGGGTTGTTGTTTTTTTAAAAATTTAATGCTCTGTTATGTTTTTATATATGTTGGAAGCTGCCCAGAGGCTGGAGCAACCTAGTCAGATGGACGGGGTATAAATAGTAAAATTATTATTAATGGAATAGGACATCCCTATTTTCATCAGAGAAATGTTGGAGGGTTTCTGGTAGGCAGATGCAAACTAGAATGTGGCTCCTGCAAACTTAACTGTTGTGTGAAAGGGGGGATTTTTAGCAGCTGTTGTAACTTGTCCCACAAAGTTGCACCTTTTGAAAAGCCCTCTCCGCACCTTGCGATCAAAGAAAGGAATAGTTACAGGTAGGTAGCTGTGTTGGTCTGCCATAGTTGAAACAAAACAAAATAAAATAAATTCCTTCCAGTGGCACCTTAGAGACCAACTAAGTTTGTTATTGGTATGAGCTTTCGTATGCATGCACACTTCTTCAGATACACAGAACTGTGCATGCACACGAAAGCTCATACCTGAAGAATATGTGTATCTGAAGAAGTGTAATAATAATAATAATAATAATAATAATAATAATAATAATAATTTATTATTTATACTCCACCCATCTGGCTGGGTTTCCCCAGCCACTCTGAGTGGCTTCCAACAAAACACTAAAATACAATAACCTATTAAACATTAAAAGCTTCCCTAAACAGGGCTGCCTTCAGATGTCTTCTAAAAGTTTGGTAGTTATTTTTCTCTTTGATATCTGGTGGGAGGGTGTTCCCAGGGCAGGTGCCACTACCGAGAAGGCCCTCTGCCTGGTTCCCTGTAACCTCACTTCTCTCAGGGAGGGAGCTGCCAGAAGGTCCTCAGAGCAGGACCTCAGTGTCTGGGCAGAATGATGGGGGTGGAGACACTCCTTCAGGTATACTGGACCGAGGCCGTTTAGGGCTTTAAAGGTCAGCACCAACACTTTGAAGTGTATCTGAAGAAGTGTGCATGCACACGAAAGCTCCTACCAATAACAAACTTAGTTGGCTACTGGAAGAAATTTTAAAATTCTGTTTTAAAGAAAGGAGTGTGTGGGTGGGATTTGCAGAGCAATCCTGGGTAGGTCTATTCAAAAGCAAGTCCCAGAGATGGCAGTGGGACTGGCCTAAGATGGACAAAAAAAGGATGTGCACGTTTCCTAGTTAGGTCTGCTTTAATTGGGTCAGGATGGTTAGAGTGGTCTGCTGCTACCCAAGTTAGCATGGCTGGTTCTGGTGGCAATGTGTAGATATGGACTGGGAAAAGATCCAAAATTCAAATGTTTGCATTTGGCCATAGTATTACATTTCTCTCCCACCTCTGAGGAGCTCAATGTGGCATTCACACTTCTCCCCCTTTAATCCTCACAGCAACCTTGTGAGGTCGGCTCTGGTAAGAGGCAGTGATTCGGCAAAGGTCACTCAGGGAGCTTCATGGCCGAGCGGGGATTGGAACCCTGGTCTCCTGGGTCTTAGTCCAAAACTCTAACTGTACTAGCTTTCGCTTCACAGATTTGGAGACCCACCCACGCCCCATAGTTGTGTGCACCTATAAATCTGTCCCCAGACCCACTCTGGGTGCACAGGCTTGTACACCCATGTGCAAACTCACCGTCTCCTAGGAAGAGAATGACGTTCTTTGCTCGTGGTTCATGGGTGTCAGCTTGAGTGCTGATTCCAGGGTCTGCTTGGCTTTCATGTTCCAATATTCTGGGTCCTTTTCCTCTTCTAGAAGAACCAGGGGAGGAGAAAGTTACTGCTCTGTATGCCTTCATGTTTTGGATTGGCTGGTCTGAGTGAAAACTCAGCTTCTGCCTAACACAGGGGTGAAGCACGTTGTGGCTCTCCAGATATTCTTGGACTCCAGCTGCCACCACCCCTGGCCATTGGCCATTCTGGTTGAGATAGATCCCCTCACATCTGGGCACAGGTTCCTCAGGCCTGGCTTAAGGCATTCAACTGTGGAATCTGAAGGAGCAACTCCACCCCCATTGTTCAGCCCGGACACTGAGGTTCAGCGCCAAGGGCCTTCTGGCGGTTCCCTCATTGCGAGAAGTGAGGTTACAAGGAACCAGACAGAGGGCCTTCTCGGTAGTGGCGCCTGCCCTGTGGAATGCCCTCCCACCAGATGTGAAGGAAATAAGCAGCTATCTTATCTTTAAAAGACATCTGAAGGCAGCCCTGTTTAGGGAAGTTTTCAATATTAATGCTGTGTTGTTTTTAACACTCGATTGGGAGCCGCCCAGAGTGGCTGGGGAAACTCAGCCAGATGGGCGGGGTATAAATAATATATTATTATTATTATTATTATTATTATTATTATTATTATTATTATTTCTTAAGAAATTATAAAGCTGAAAGTGGAGCGAACCAATCAAGTGGACTTAAAGTAGCGCAAGGGCTCTTGGGGAAGTCTCTTTCAGAAATGTCTCTATACCTCTTGAGCTCCTACCCACATGTTTTTGCTTCCCAAATCCCACACTTCAACAACCATCCATGAGTCTTATCTCCTTGGCACTGGGACACCAAGGATATGCCTCTCCCCCAGCACCAGGTTTAGGGTGGCGAGGGCAATGCCACCACCGGGGTGCGAAGCCCAGGAGGCACAAAACTGAGAAGATCCATAATTGAGAAGATTCCTTTGAGGGCACCAAATTTTGGCCTCTCCCTGGGCGTCACATTACAAAAGATTGCAAAAGTCTGCTGCTGCTCTCCCCACTTTGAAGCTCGGAGCTGTGTATACATTTGGGGAGGAGCAGCTCATTTGCCAAGGACATGATAAGCCCCCTGAGGCAATTTCCCCAAAGGAAATGGCCTCTTCAAAGACCAGAGCACCCCAATTGACATTCCTCACTCAGTCTTGGGACAGCGGTGAGCTAGCGGTGGCTAGAGTATGATAGCGACCTTCCACAGATGTTGGCAGTCTACCACCAGATGCCAGGAACTCAGAAGGAAGGAAGGCTACCACCATCTTTGTGGCCTGATGTTCTTGTGAAGCCTTAGGAAATGAGATTCTAAAATTGCCCCATCAGCCTTTGCTTCCTGTGTTTGGAGGCAGGGGGCTTGTGAATTGCCCGTCCCAGGGAATTCTTATCAGCAAGGCTGCATGGGATCAACAGATCCAGTTGGGACCTGACCTCACAAGGAGCAAAGGTCACAGGCATCAACCGCCTGGTCCCTAGCAAAACAGACCCTGCCCATTCACAACCCTTGCATGCTCATTAATCACCCATTGATCAGGGGTTCGCCTTGTAAATGACTGAGCCTCTTCGCTTAGGAGAGCTGTGCGATAGGCAAAGGAATCAAATAGGCAGAGCATCCTCATTTGTTGCTTATAAAAAGTGCCTGATATGCACAGACTCATTCATCCAGGGGAGGGGAGTGTGGGCATAACTTATTTATTTTTAATGACAATTTCTGTCCCATTCTCCCTCACCGAAGGACAGATAGCAGCCTAAAATGCAATAAAACCATGTGGAATACCCAATAATTAAAACGACAGTTATTAAAACTTCATCATCCATAAAGAAAGTTCGGGGCCGGGGAGAGAAAGAATCATATTCCTTCACACACACACACACACACACACACACACACACACACACACACACCAGATTTCAGATCCCACACTATGATCCCTCAGGAAGTCCTGCTTCTCTGCCCACCTTCCTGGTGCAGCTGGCATGGAACACTCAGCCAAACTATGGTGCTGGAGGAGACTCTTGAAGAGTCCCATGGACTGCAAGAAGATCCAACCTCTCCATTCTGAAGGAAATCAGCCCTGAGTGCTCACTGGAAGGACAGATCCTGAAGCTGAGGCTCCAATACTTTGGCCACCTCATGAGAAGAGAAGACTCCCTGGAAAAGACCCTGATGTTGGGAAAGATGGAGGGCACAAGGAGAAGGGGGGACAGAGGACGAGATGGTTGGATAGTGTTTTCGAGGTTACCAGCATGAGTTTGACCAAACTGCGGGAGGCAATGGAAGACTGCAGTGCCTGGCGTGCTCTGGCCCATGGGGTCACGAAGAGCTGGACACGACTAAACAACAACAAATGATGGAGCATGAATGAGGGAAGCTCTGCTTGCCCACAATCCCTTTTCTATGCAGCCAGGTGCCCCCCAAACTCCAGTTCTTTGCCTCTGACTTCCACCTACCAACTTTGGGGTGGCCTTGTTTGTGCCAACGTCCCCAGAACCTGAAGCAGATCAGCATGCATAAGGACATAAGGAACCCACTCATCACACATCCATGACATTTTGCCCCCCCCCCAAACTGAGCCTCGGTCAAAGTGCAGGAGGCTCAACCAGGGTTGTCCTCTCAGACTGCTGGTTCCCTCACCACACACTTCCTTTCTTGAGGGTCAGCTGTTCTTTGCAACTTTGCATTGTGTTGGAAGCAGCTGACTGATTTCCTGCACAGTCTTGTTTGGCCCAGTTTGTTCCACAACCCTCTTGTGGATATTTGCAGAAGATAACACAGGAGCCATCTCAGCGGAGGTGCAGGGAGAATGACAACGGTAGCCTCTGCTCTCAGCTGCAGCAGCAATGCCTTGCAAATCTTGCCCAACATCCTCTTTAAGCAAGACCAGACCAGACCAGACCATAAGATACCAACTGGAAGGAAGTGGGCAATTTGTTTCCAGGACACGCTCTGTGCATTGATGCAACTTCTCTGAGAAAGAAACAGCACAAATTCTGCAAAAGTAAAACCCAGAGTGGGGAGAACCTTGTGAGTTCACCTGCTGATCTCAGCCCATTTTATGATGATGATGATTATTATATGGGCTGGGTTTTACATTCTTGCTTTATGATTTGGACTAACACAACTCTCCTCTGTTTGGAAGAATGCTCAAAATACTTGCCTGCCCTCACCCTCCCTGCTTAGCAAAGGCTGGCAACAGAGCAAAGCGGGACACAGACTTTCTGCAAACTAAGAAACCATGTGGATCAAGTTGTACCTCTGAATTTGGACCTGTGCTCCTGTTCTTCTCGTAAGCAGCATCACTACCTTTCCTTAAGAATGCTAGATGGCCTTGCAGCTGGATCAGACCAAAGGCCCATCCCATAAGGTATCCTGCTCCTGCAGTGGCTGACCTGCCCTAACAGCTACCCGGGGAGCAGGACCCAAATCCCCAGGTAGCAAATCAATAATAAGCACTATTAAAAACAACATCAAGTCCTCAGACATTCAAATGCAACAGGACAAACTGTATAAAACCAGCTAGGACTCCTTAAGCTTGCTTCATTTTTTAAGAGAAGGCAGTTCCTGGGGAAACACTCTGCACAAGCCCAGAGGGGTCATTTCCTTGGGCTGTTATTGAAAGCAGAAGCTGGTTCCTTTGCTCAGGGATTTAGAAGTCGGGATCCCTAAAAGCAGGCATGCAGCTCCCCAGAACATGGCACACTCCCCTCCGTCCTAGCCAGAGCATCACCACTGTGCCGAAAACAAAGCCAGCTTGAATGCTGATATTACAGAACAGCCCTTTCCATGGTTGGGCTTTGAATGTCTACAGAAGACTCTGCTCTCGTCAGATCAAGCATTCACTGACTTAGATGAAGTTTATCTCCAAGGGAAGCAGAGGAGGGCCGCAACACAGTGGCAGAGTGCCTGCCTTGCATGTAGAAGGTCGCAGGTTCAATCCCTGGCTTCTCCAGGTAGGGTCAGGAAAGACTCGCTGGCTGAAATCCTGGCAAGCTGCTGCCAGCCAGTGCCGACAACACTAATCTAGAGGGACCTACAGGTCTGAAATTGTATAAGGCAGCTTCCTATATTCTCTCTCTCTCTCTCTCTCTCTCTCTAAAAAACAACAACCCTCTTTTCCAGAAACTTGGGCTGGTGGCCGATTTGGGTCCAGAAGACCCTCTCCCAAGCTGTGAAACAACAACAGATAGCTTTGTTTCTCACCTAAGGATGTGGCAGAGAGGCAGGCACAGAAGCAGAAGAAAGCCTGGATCCTCAGGGCAGCCAGGGGCTTCATCCTGCAGCCAAGCCAAGGATGGAAAGAGTCCCTGATGAAAGACCGCAGCTTCTGAGGCTCTGGGGTTTTTATGCTCCTCCTCTCACCTTTGGACCCAGGGGGGCACGGGGCCAAAAGGCTGGGAGGGGTGGGAAAGGAAATGTAGATGACGTCCCATCCCCTGTCCCGAGAGAAGTACCGGTAACTGCCCACAACACAGTTTCATCACAGCCTTTCAATTCTGCAGTGGGGAGAGCATTTTTCTGCTGAATCGGCCAGCCTATCTGTAGGCTCCAAGGCTCCTCCCGGACACCTCTTCTGAACACCAGCTCCGGAAGGAAATCAAAGGCTACGGCCCTGTTGAGGAGACCACGCAGCCACTTGCAGGTTTCTGCGAAGAGATAGGGAGTCTTCCTCCTGTGGGCCCGGCCAGTGGAGAGTCAGGCGGTTAGGGTCCTCTAAGACACAAAGGCTGCCCCAGAGGTCACTGCAAAGCTCATGCCTTGCCTCCTTAGCTGCTTCCGCTGAACTGAGTGGCAAGGACACTTTGGGAAGTCAACACGCATGGAAAAACCGAGTCCTGCTTCCTTCCATAGAACTGGGCAGATCTGGTCTGGTCTGGGCTGCTGACGACTGGAAATTGCCCAGGATGCAGCTTCCCTTCCTGCCCAATGTTGCATTTATTTGCTTTAAAAAGGGCAATGCAAAACGGTGTCTGAGCATGTCAAACAATGGAATTTGAAAAACACATACAAATACATTGGAGTTTACAAGTCAAGGTGAATCCAAACAAGTCCAAAGTACAGGGCAGAATGTAGCTCAGTGAAATGCCCACGCCTGGCATGCACAGGGTCCAATTCCTGGCATCTCCTGAGGGGCAGGAAAGAGTCAGGGACCCTGGGGGGCATCTCTCTGCCTGCCAGAGTGCATCAGCCGCCCCCCAGCTGGCGCCTGCCAGATGCTTCAGACTACGATTCCCACCAGCACCATCTAGCAGAGCTATGCTGGCCGGAGCTCATGGGAGTTGTAGTTGACAGCAGCTGGCGGGGGAGAGCAGCCGCCTTGGAAAGTAGCTGGTCCAGGGCTTGAGAGGCTGACATTTGGAGGGCACCAGCTTGGCAGATTTAGTCTAACAGAAATGTAAAGCAAAGCCTCCTCCACCATCTCAACCAGGCATCACCTACCTGCTGGCCTCCCATCCAGATGGAATGGACTACAACTCCCATCAGCCGTTCCAGCTGGGACTGATAGGAATTGTAGTCCAAAACATCTGGAGGAGGCCAGTTTGGGGGAGGTCTGGAAACCAAGAGCAGTTGTGGGGGTTAAAGGGGCTGTAAGATGCATCACACCAAAGGCAGCCAATGTGGTGCCCAGTAGTTGTTTTGGACTACAACTCCCATCCCTGACAACTGGCTTGGGTTGATGGGAACTGTAGTTCACACGGTGCATTGTTAAACTGTGGAACTCACTCCCACAGGAAGCCGTGTTGGACTGGCTTTAAGAGAAGATGAGGCAAATTCATGGAGGAGGAGGCTACCATGGACTACTAGCCTTGAGGGCTGAGCTTCGCCTCCGTAGTTGGAGATAGCAACATTTCTGAATCCCGGTTCCTGCAAACCAGGACTCCTGTACTCATGTTCTGCTCCCTGGTTTCTCGCAGACTTCTGGTTGGCCACTGTGAGAACAGGATGCTGGACTAGGTGGGCTATTGGCCCGATCCGGCAGGCTCACAATTACCGGTATCTGGATGGGACTTTCCTTGGGTTGTACTTTGAGGAAGGAAGCAAGAAGCAATGGCAGCTCCCCAGAGAAGGTCATCGTGGCAAGTTCCTGCACAAATTTGATGGCAGCTTATTCCAGTCTTTCTGCCGTTGCAAACAATGGTCTCCTCGGTGCAGGGTGTGGTCTGAACGCACGACATGCAGCCCTCTTGCTGAAGCAAAGCAAGTCTGTGCCCAGGCAGTGCCAGCTGCGAACACCACGGGATGTCAATAAAAACAAACAGCCTCTAGGTTGCATATGTCTTTGTGTCAGCTAGGAAGCAGGGAGACTTACAGTCTGCAAATCCTGCAATGCTACTAATGAGGCCTGACAGGGAGCTGTCTCAGGGCGCCTTATGGAGAGAGGACAGAGGAGAATTAAAGGAGCAATATTCCCAGGTGCGTTGGGTTGAGTACCAGGGGTGTGGCTGGAGCTCTACCACTTATTTCATAACCGGAACAACTTCGTCATCTCCTGGGGTGCTATTTTCTAGCTGAATTAAGTTTTTCTTAGAGAGAAGCTAAGCAGGGGAAGAGGAAGATGGCATCAGCATGCAAGGTGGAGAGTTGAACTGCCACTTTCTACCCTGAAAAGCTCTGAAGTCTCATTATTACGGGCAACCAGAAAAACGTTACAAAATAGGGAGTGAGCTTTTGAGTCCAGCAGAACTCTTCATTTGGCTGAATGTTAAGCCACTAAAGCGGAGGGAGGGGGAATTGAGAAGGGGGCAAACTGGCTTGGTTTTGAAACCATAATGTTTCTCCTGGCAAGTGGAAACGTGACTGTAGAAGGAGGTCTGAGCACCAGCTAATGCACAGGGAGTCCAATCCAGTTTGCATTGGCAACCCCAGACCCTGCAAAAAGCAGGATTTAACTCAGCTGACGCACAGGGAGCTAAATTCTGCTTTTCTGCAGTTTCACACGGACACACACACCAGCTCCATCCTTATTTCAGACATGGTGATATCGGTATACCACAACGTTTAGCTGGTGATATATCGCACTGTTGAAGACCAGGGGTCGCCCAGCCCTAGCTGTGACCTGTCCCAGTCAGGCTATGCCCAGAAGGATCAAAACACAGATGACATAATACAGATAAAGTAAATGAGTTTAACCAAAGGTAAGAAAAGTGTTGCAATATTTTCAGAATATTTGAGGTGGGGAAGTGTGTCCTGACTATACTCTTATCTCTGCAGCAAGCATGAAGCACTTTCCTTGAACTGAGCAAGCAGTACACCCCCCCCCCGCCTTTCCTCTCACACAAAATAGGCGCGGTTTTCGCTTGCCTCTGACTGCAAACAGTTTACGCTGCTTTTTTACTGCATTCAAAGTGATGGTGGCCCCTTGGCTGACTGCACCCCCCCCAATCCCATTCGCATTTAGCTTCTTCTGGGGTCATGGGTTCAAGCTCCATGTTGGGCAAAATGATTCCTACATTGCAGGGGGCTGGACTAGATGACCCCCGTGGTCCCTTCCAGGTCTGCAGTTCTATGGGTCTGTGATCCCAGAAGGTTCTCCTCCTACAATGTGGGGCTACCTTTGAAGGTGACCCGGAAACTACAACTAATCCAGAATGCGGCAGCTAGACTGGTGACTGGGAGCGGCCGCCGAGACCATATAACACCGGTCTTGAAAGACCTACATTGGCTCCCAGTACGTTTCTGAGCACAATTCAAAGTGTTGGTGCTGACCTTGAAAGCCCTAAACAGCCTCTGTCCAGTATACCTGAAGGAGCGTCTCCACCCCCATCATTCAGCCCAGACACTGATGTCCAGCTCCGAGGGCCTTCTGGCGGTTCCCTCACTGCGAGAAGCCAAGTTACAGGGAACCAGGCAGAGGGCCTTCTCGGTGGTGGCACCCGCCCTGTGGAACACCCTCCCACCAGATGTCAAAGAGAGCAACAACTACCAGACTTTTAGAAGACATCTGAAGGCAGCCCTGTTTAGGAAAGCTTTTAATGTTTGATGTATTACAGTATTTTAATATTTTTTTGGAAGCCGCCCAGAATGGCTGGAGAGGCCCAGCCAGATGGGCGGGGTATAAATTATTATTATTATTATTATTATTATTATTATTATTATTACTACTACTACTACTACTACTACTACTACTACTACTACTACAATGTGTTCTACTTTCTTTTTTAAAAATTATTTTTCTTATTAGGAGTTTCAAAATAACAATTTATCAAAAATACATCCTCCTCACCCCCCCATTTTTCCCTCCCCCCTCCCCCAAAAGAGATTTCTTGATGTTAGCCATATCCCTAAATACTCAACCTTTTTATGGACTTCTATCTCAATATTTTGCTCTAAATCCTTTTTTTTTCTTCTTCCTTCAAATTTTTGACTAATAGTTGGGTTTTATTCCTATTTAATCTAAATCCTGCCACTTCCCCAAATTTCTGAATCTTTTCTATTTACTTTGGGGACAATGAGTTCTACTTTCATCCAAATGTAAGAACTTGTTTTCTCCATTTGCTGATTTCCCCACCTCCTAGCAGGTTTTCTTCTCTGGGCGGCAGTGGTGGTAGGGAGAGCTCCAGCCCTCTTCCAAAATCCCCGGTCTTCTTTGAGTCCCCCTTCCACACTCACCAGCCCTGATTCAACTGGCTAAAACGCACACAACCAGATTTATTGTTTGTCCCCGTCGTTTCTCTCCCAAGCGACGGTGCTGTTTTTGCAGAGGATGGAGATGGGTGTGTGGAATTGAAAGAGGAAGATAACAGCACCGTTGCTGCTTCACAACCGTTTCGGAACTTCCTCTCGTGTTGAAATGTCAAATGAGAAAATGCCAGCGAAATCAGGACGACGGAAACCTGCACACACACACACGCACACATGGGTGTTGTTGGCCAAGGTGGTTTTTTTTATTATGCCCGCATGGCCACAGCCACAAACACAGAAGCAAGGAATGCCTTAAGGCACAGGAATCCCACCACGGGCTGCTCTCAGCTCCTCTGTGTCCTTTGCAAAGGGCTTGTTTAAGAAAAGGAGGGTCTAAAAAGCCAGGAGACGAGGAGGATTCAGGTCCTTGCAGCAGCTGGGGATGCCTGGAGGGCTGCCGTCTCCGCTGCTGCTGGCTTGGGTTAAAATCCAGACATAAAACAAAACCCGTTCGCAAAAATTGATAACTGAGAGACCCACAGCCCGACTTTCCCCAGGAGAGAGACAGAGTCACTGTAGGATGAGGCCCTTTGGGGATGTTGCTTTGGCAGTGTCAGCTGGGCACAATCCATCTCCGGACATGGGAACCGGTCACTCCTCGCCACCAGGCCTCTTCAGCACCGCACTGTACTTCAAGGGGACGTTGTCGGACCTCAGGACGACCTCCACCAAGGTGAAAACAGTAATGACCTTGAGCGACAAGGAAGAAGAAGAAGAAGGGCAGCAGGTTAGCTGGCTGGCAAGTGATTGATTCGAAAAGGCTGAGATGTCCCTGAAAGCCACCCCTTCTGGTCTAGGAAAGCAGGAAGTTCACAGAAGGTGATCTGAAGGTAAAAGGTAAAGGTAAAGGGACCCTTGACCATTAGGTCCAGTCATGGACGACTCTGGGGTTGCAGCGCTCATCTCGCTTTATTGGCCAAGGGAGCTGGCGTACAGGTTACAGGTCATGTGGCCAGCAGGACTAAGCCGCTTCTGGCGAACCAGAGCAGTGCACGGAAACACCATTTACCTTCCCGCTGGAGCAGTACCTATTTATCTACTT